AAATAATGATCTTTAAAATAGCATCATATGACCCCTTTAAGGAAGTCAAAACAAAAGGTTTAAGGTCTAAAATTTAAATCAGTTAATTCTAAGTATTATGTCATAATATATCTAATAAGTGTTTTAAAGTTAAAGTTACCATATGCTCGTGATGTGAACAAAAGTCGCATCCTTTCAGAGTAGGCATACTCGATAATTATGCAAGGAAAATGCATCGAAACTTAAGTAGTGTCATAACTGAGCAATTTATATTTTATACTTTTTTAATTGGAGGCTATAAAAATGCGCACCTTCTATATAGTGTTTGCCTCCCTATTTCGTTTTTGTGAAAAAGCTATTTGTGATTGTGAATTAAACATTAAAAACAGAATTTAGTAATTTTGTATTTTGTCATTATTTCAGTTAATGAAATATAAGTTTTTCTTTTACAGTAAGCTGTTTCCAGTGGAAAACATGCAATGCAACACATTGCACTGTGCTGTGTTTTAAAGGAAATATCCATAAACCTAAAGTCCTGGCACAAAATTACCAGTAAAGGATTCCCTTTTTCATTTACTTTTTCTTACAGTGTCCCTTTAAATTAGTGCACCATAAATTGAATTCAGACACAAAACACTAATTCAACCATTGTTATTATTCATTCACGCCAATGAAAATAAAGCACTCCCACACTTGTATTTCAAACAAAACATGATGAAACTCTCTTAAGCACAGTGAAGAAAGATTCTAGATGCCAATCTGTGCAAGAGACTATGCTTAGCAGGGTCATTCTCAAAACACACAGACACACACAGCATTGCAGAGACACTGCACCATCATGACTTACAAATGTACATGTGTAAAGACTGCCAGTCTACCTCGCTCATGTGTTGCCGTACCAGCCCCTGGCACCACTGCAGCTATCACAAACTAGGGCAAGCTATTTATATCACCAAGAGAAGAATGATAGAGAGAGATTCAGAGAGAGATGAGAGAGAGCGAGAGAGAGTTCAGGTGCAGGAGAGTGCAGGCACTAGAGGAGTAGAAGGTGATGCAGCAGATATGGGATGCAGAAGAGATGGATTTAAAAGAAAGCCGCAAGTCAGGAAACGTGACAGACAGGCTGAAATAGAGTGAACAAAGATAACTGAAAAGAAAAATAATACAAAAAAACGGCATGTAGAAAATAAAGGTAAAAAGGAAAAAAGGATACAAGACAGATCAGTTTACAGCAGGGCTGTCCAAACTCGGTCCTGGATGGCCGGGGTCCTGCAGAGTTTAGCTCCAACCCTAATTAAACACACCTGAACCAGCGAATCAAGCTCTTACTAAGCATAGAAACTTCCAGTCAGGTGTGTTGAGGCAAGTTGGAGCTAAACTCTGCAGGACACCGGCCCTCCAGGACCGAGTTTGGACAGCCCTGGTTTACAGTATTTCCAATGCACTGCAGAGGTATGGTATTGTGTGTTTCTAGCAATCATTGGATTAGATCTATTGCAGTTTCTATGTTTTTCTCTCAGGAACTTGTTTATACACAACACCAAAATGTCCCCTATGTAAATGAGCCACATCCTGTCCTGAATAATAACAGCATTATATTTTCATTACCCTCTTCGCAAATTCTTTTTCATCCACAGGTCACAAGCAGGTCCATGGACTGCTCACCACAGCACTGAAATGAGCAATGCAGTATATCTATTTATGACCTTATTATGACGCATTATAAATAATGTGTGGATGTGTCATTTAAGGAGGTGGTTTTGCTTCAGGACCCAGATTTTACATTGGACATCAAGTGGTAACCCAACACAGCAGCAAAACCGTTTATTGTACAAAATTAACAAAAATAATGTTAAAATCAAAGTGAAGTGCTATGGCCCAACAATACGCAAAACTATTAACATGATAAAAAAAAAGGAATAAGACAACATGCAACATGGAACAAACACTGGGCCAAATGTTGTTTTAGTATTAGCTGTAACTTCGAGAAAGAATCCTGAAACAAATGTATTGTTGTTTCCACAAAAATATTAAGCAGCACAACTGTTTTCAACATTGATAATAATAAGAAATGTTTCCTGAGCAGCAAATCAGCATATTAGAATGATTTCTGAAGATTCATGTGACACCGATGACTGGAGTAATGACTGCTTAAAATTTAACTTTGCCATCACAAGAATAAATTAAACTTTAAAATATATTAAATGCAGCTCTGGTGAGCATAAGATAATCACAAACACCAGGGTGATTTTGTATGACTGCTGAATGTAAATGATCCTTTATGTATCATGCATTTATCTATCTAATCCATCATTCTCAACTACGGTGGCCCAGTAGTGCATAACACAACGAAATTAAAAAAGCAAACATAAGCTCACAACACAACGACATTAAAAAAGCAAACATAAGCTCAAAACACAACGACATTAAAAAAACAAACAAGCTCAAAACACAACGACATTAAAAAAACAAACAAGCTCAAAACACAACGACATTAAAAAAGCAAACATAAACTCAAAACACAACGACATTAAAAAAGCAAACATAAACTCAAAACACAACGACATTAAAAAAGCAAACATAAACTCAAAACACAACGACATTAAAAAAAGCATACATTAGCTTACAACACAACGGAAATGCTCCCGACCACTAGGGGGCAGTTGGTCTGCAGAAATGGGCAATTGTGCGCATGTCACGAGTATTCGCGGGCGCCACCGGGCAGTCTGAACCTGCTTTGATAGTTTTAACGCTGCTTGCTCCCTGGCGTTCTTTCAGTTCGCAATGTATTGTCCATTTTGTGGGGCTACGCTTGAAAGCTGCCCTTCTTTTTGCAGCACATGTGGAAAAAGCGTACAGTTTCTCAGAGACAAAGTTCCTGATGGAAATGAGCCCAGCACCAGTGCAGGTAAGTTACATAGCGAGGCTGTTAACTTTACTGTATTGATTTGTAAGGCCCTATGATTTCCGCGATGCTGAAAACGCGGATGGAATCACGGAATCTTTTTGAAAAAAATAAAGAAATTTGGGAAAAAATAAAACGGATTTCATAGTGCCTTAGATTTGGAACAGAATAGCTGCTTTGTAAACTGTGGAGTATAATGTGAGAGATTTCTATGACAATGTTTTTGAAGCAGGAAAAACAGAGAAAAGTTCAGTGGGTTGCTTCATGAAGTACAGGGCATTAAAGGAGAAGGAGAGGAAAACCTTCTTTACAAAGAAAAATCATGACTCTAAGAAGGATAAAAAAACACTGAAGGTATCTTTTATACGTCACAATAGGGATGAAGACTATTGTAACTTCCATTTCATAATTACTTCAAATTAAAGGATAGATAGTATTATCAGTACCCTTATCTTGAAAATCTGTTTCCTATGGAATTTAGAGCAGTGCTGAATTGAGGAATTGTAGATATTAACTAGTTTAAAAGTCATGATTATCTTTTAATCAATCAGTTTTTATAAATTAGTCACACACCCATATTAAAGCCTATTTTAATGTTCAGTTTGTGACATCTTTGTTTATTCTTTTCATGTGTAGATTTACATTGGAATTATGAAAAGACATGATGGTGTTCTAAAGCCCATGAGAGGGAGGAGCCTGCCTCTTGAAGTTCAAACAAACTGGTCATCTGAGCAAGTGTTAATAGCTGGTGAAAAGAAAGTAAAAGATTTTAATCAGGACATGGAAGAGGGTCCCTATGTTTTACTGTACCCAGATTGTTCAGAGGTTAAACATATTCCTGGAACAAACACCCCTTTTAAACTACAGCTGTACAAAGAGGCAATTGGGAAGACTTACCAAAGAATAACACTGTTCATATGCACAGTTCAAGACTTTTCAGCCACTGGTGAGCATATTTAATTTAATGTAAATCTTACATAGACATGTATAAAACACTATATACACATGGTTTTAAATGAAAGTGAAATTTCCTTATGTTCATAATTGTTGTTTGAAGACTGTAATGAGGATTCTTCTAGTGAAGACAGTGAAGTGCAAGTAAAATCTACCTCTCACAGTCCACTTGATGAAAATGACACTTTGGTGGGTGCATTTAATTGCATGTATCCAAAAATAAATATAACGTTAATTGTAACTAATTTTAACTCCTGCTATGTGTTCTCTATGCAGATATGGGATAGTCCAGATGAAGCAAGAACACCAAAGGCAGGAAGCACATTGGACAGGTATTACTTTAGCAGAGTTAGGACATTCTTTGGAGCTTGAGTTGTTCAAATTAATGTATAGTTGTTGTTTTTCAGACACCCTGATCACTCTCTGCCTTTTTTGGAACAAGTAAGTTCATCATTTATGTTCATACCTTGTATGTTACAACAAATAAAATTATTATGTTTTATGGGGTTTGTTTAATATCAGTTATAGTATTTTTTTAAACAAAAATAATACATTTTAATATTTGTTATATTTCTGACAAATGTAGGAAGCAGGAAAAATCAGAACAAACATCCATGAACATGTACGTGACCAACAAAAGTGCTACACGTAAGCTTGAGTTACCTCAAAAGATAAATTGCTAAAGTATTAAATTAATTGCTTTAAATTACTTTTAATGGTCTACAATTACTTTTGTATGTAAATGGATGTAAATTACTGTTATTTTTTTTTTCTCTTTACAGCAATTACACACATCTGTATGCACCAATAGTAATCGAAAGTGATTCAGAAGAGTCAGACCACAGCACACAATGTGTTGAAGAGGAATGGTTGTAATTTATTAATTACTCTCAATGTCATGTTTCTAAATTTATTCACTCTATTTTTTTTATTGCATCATGATGTATTTGCTTAATCAAAACCTCTATGTTTTACAGCTCAGATGCATTCACTGCTGCAGACATTGTGTCAGATCTCTCACAGAAGATCATAAGGACATCTTGCAGCAGATTCAACATAAATCGAGCTAATGTTTGGGATGGAGCAGTTCGCGGTTTTAAACGTGCATCATATGATCCATTGCATGACATGCTTGTCAAATTCACAGATGATGAAGGCACAACTGAAGATGCAGTGGACACAGGTGGTCCGAAACGTGAGTTTCTATCCCTCCTAATGGACTGTTTAAGAGCACGGAGAATCTTTGATGGTCCAGAAAATAGGAGATTTCTCACCTTTAATAATGGAGGTAAATTATTTACTTAATTGTAGCTTTTAGCTGCACTATTCATTACTGTCTTCTTTTTTACTAAGTGTAGTAAAACGATCCTTTCCCTACAGCTGTCAGGGAAGATGAATACTTCCTTGCTGGGCGGATGATCGCAGTTTCTATTGTTCACGGTGGTCCAGGTCCTCGCTTTCTCTCAGATATGCTGTACAATCACCTCACTGGTAGTGCTGACATTAATGGAACAGTTGAGGATGTAACAGATAAGACCATGAAAGCAGCTTTAATTGAGGTGCATTCCATTTTCTTTTAAGCTTATTTTAAGTTACATTTTTGTTCCTATAAAGGTTTAAGGATTAACAGTTACAGACCTGTTTATATTGGCTTCATGAAAAATATATTATAATTTAATCGCTACCTATTTACGCCAGATATCCAGTGCAGCATCACTGCATGAATTACACATGCTTATTGACAAGTATGAAAGCTTGCTGCAGACTGCTGGATGTTTTGATTACCCACAAAGTGTAGAGGGCAAAGACAACATTGTGAAGGATTTCATACAGTGGTACATAATATACAGAAACCAGTACTCGGTACAAAGGTAAGTCTTGTTCCTAATTTGAAAGAATATGATAATTATCAGTGTTATCATTATCATCACTTTGTGATGATGTTTGGCTTACAGATTTAGGGATGGGCTTTCCACCCTGGATGTCATCCATGCCCTGGAACAACATCCTAGTGTATTCAGACCCTATATGTGCTACAGTGTTGACAGACTAACACCTGAATCTCTGGAGGGTGTCTTCAAGGCTCTGCTCAGCGAAGCTGGTAGCACCAGACGACAAGAAGAAACAAGAATTCTGGGATACTGGAGAGATTATCTGCTTGACACTGGAGGTAAAGGATTGAACGTTACATTTTATTGTTGTTTATTACATATTTCATGATATTCCATTGTTGTTTTTCAGAACAAGAATCAGGAGTCTCCCTCCAGGACATCCTAATGTTTGCTACGGGATTGGATTCACTGCCTCCTTCAACAATTGTGCCTCAGCCCCGACTGAGTTTTGAGAGGACTTCTAAATTCCCTATTGCAAGCACCTGTGCCAACACAATACAACTGCCAATGTCCAAAAGTTATGAAGAGTTCAAAAATGCAATGGATTTTGGTATTCAAAACTCACCTGGTTTTGGATTGCACTGAGTAGAACAATGTGAAATGTTAAAGAGATAGCTCACCCACAAATGTAAATTGTCACAATTTATTCACCCTCATGTTGTTCCAAACCCGTATGAGTTTCTCTCTTTCTTTTGTTGAACACAAGGTGATATTTTGAATAATGTTGGTAACCAGACACTTGACAGTATTAATTGACTTCCATAGTAGAAAAAAAAATTACTGTGGAAGTCAGTGAGAACTGTCAAGTGTCTGGTTACCAACATTCTTCAAAATATCACCTTCTATTTTCAACAAAAGAGAAAAACACTTTTGGGTGAGAAATGCCTTTTCTTTCTTTTATTTGTTTAAATGTGGGCCATGTTCTTTAAAGTTATGTAGTTCTCCACACCAGCCTCCCAGGTGTAAGATGTAGTCAGATTGCTTTGAGCATGTAGTTCTTCAAAGTGTGCCTGCAACTGTCCATCTCCACATGTGCTACGAGTAAGTTCAATGAAAAACTCGTTCAAGTTTTCTTGTGAGATGCAAAATCCACATTCTCTTCCATTAAACCTTTGAATAAAAGAGCCATTATATTAAGTACAGTATTAAACGCAATAAAGGTTTATTGGTAATTAATTCTGTAATTATTCATTCATTCTGTTGCCTCGCCCCAAAATATAACTGCTAAACCTCATGTCAATCCAAAGTTGAATGACTTTCTTCTGTGGAGTAGAATTTTAGCCTCAATCTCCTTTTTTCAATTAAATTTTACAGCAGAACAGGGAATGAAAGTTAATGTTATGCGAGACATTTTATGTATCTCCATTTTGTGCTCTATAGAAGAAAGTAAATCTCATGGCTTTGGAACAGCATAAGGGTGGATGCATGATAGCAGAGTTTGACATTTTGTGTTAACTAATATCGTAACAATTTCATTACAAAAATTAAAAACAGTTAAATACAGTCACATACCAACCTGTGTGGAAGAGCATACATTGCATCTGGTTTACCAGAAGGACAGCGAGACTGTTTAACTGCCCTAATGGTGTGAGTGTTCCATATTTCTTTGCATTCGTCAAGGTCCTTCTGCAGTACACTTAAAAACACAAAACGCATTAAGCATATCTGCTCATGACTGCCATTAAAGAGCTGTCTCTCTTTCAAGTCATTTAGAAGATCCATCCAAAACTGAGACCTGTGTAAATAGACCAACAATAACATCAGCATCCCTTTTAGACATTGAATAGGCTATTATCTTATAACATGCTTTAACTTAACATTTCCAACTGTAAAATTCAGCAAGACATGTTAAATACAACCCCAAAATATCATGAATGTGTGGACTATACCTTTGTTTTCTGAAGTATGACCACCAGCTTTCAATTCTTTGGTTTGTGATTGAGGAGCCATACATATGGCTTGAAGCCCCTGCCAGGTCATCTGTGTGGGTTGATCTCAGGGGAACAGTGGATTGCAGCCATTGTTCCATTTTCAGTGCCACAGTCAGTGCGAAGAAGCGTTGGTATGACTCCAAATTCACTGGCACACTGTAAGTAATGATGAGCTATAATGTCTGGGTCGTTATTGCTCGCTCCACAAACTAACCACATCACTTTGCGTGAGTAACCATCGATGCAGCCACTTATAGCCAAACCATATGGTTTTAATTTGTCATAGCCATCAACGTGCCAGACATGATTTGGCCCTAAAGAATGGTAAACCCTTCTCACAAATCTTCTTCTTGAGCGTTGTTCAATGCCTACTGGATCAAGGTCTGCCATCATAAGCACTCCTCACTGTAAGATTGTGTTTTTGGCGTAGGGTTTGGCACATTGTGCGGTAGCCATAATGCTGTCCAGAGCCACTCAACTCATCAATAATAGCAGTCCGAACAATTTCCAAAGGCGAGTAGTTTTTTCGTTTGTACAAGGACAGGTTGTTCAATTTTTTTTTCAGGGTACGAAGGCTCATTTTAATGTTGTGCTTCAATGCCAAGAAGTCCAGAATGACACTGTAACTGTGTCCATCTCTGAAGTACTTTTGAAGAAGATCATCCTCAGAAACTTGGACAGATGACTCTAACCATCAAGAAAGAATAAAATATAGAATTAAGGTGTTTTAAATGATTATACAAAGAGAGACATAAATAATACTTAATTAAATTGGACACAATGCTAACTTTAAATACATAAAATGTTACTATTTAAATCACAACTTTAATTGTTAGAAAAACCTGCCTAACATTTAGTGAATAAACGGCATGCTCCAATAAGAATAACTTTAGACTTTAGGTTCTTCCTATAATAATATTGTCATTATATCATTTTTATTTGAGGCCAGTTTTCAACACATGTATATTACATGACGGTAAACATAATGCAAACTTACCACGTTGAACTTCAGCTAAAAACTGGACATTTTGACCACACGAGCCACAAAATGCTACACTAGTCCCCAGATCGTGTCCACAAAATGGACAAAACATGCCAGCCTAAGAAAACAACGGTTGAAATGATATTTCAGTGGACGTTCATAAAACAAGTGCAGAGCTAAACTGTCCAAATCGAAAATAATATTGATTTATTTTCTGCTCTATTCATTAATCGATACATTAAGATAAACAGGATAAAAACATTCAGTAAAAACACATTGTTCATATAAAAATCGATTACACATATTAAGATCAATCACTTACGTTGAGAATTTTCTATTTTCGAGGAAGTATCGGGGTTTCACTGCCAACACTGCCCCCTAGTGATCGGGAGCATTTCCGTTGTGTTGCGGCTTAATGTCGTTGTGTTTTGAGTTTATGTTTGCTTTTTTAATGTCGTTGTGTTTTGAGTTTATGTTTGCTTTTTTAATGTCGTTGTGTTGTGAGCTTATGTTTGCTTTTTTAATTTCGTTGTGTTGTGAGCTTATGTTTGCTTTTTTAATTTCGTTGTGTTATGCACTACTGGGCCACCGTACTCAACAACCTGATCTCTTGGGTGAGTTTATAAAGGGACTATTTA